GCGTTACGGGTCCTGGGCAAACTCCTACGAGCGTGGTTAATTTCTTGTGCGTGTAAGACCTTACTGGTGTACGGCGCTGAGGACCTTTGAGCTGAGGCTGAATGTGAGGCTAGGCAGAACCGTGGCGCTAATTAGTAGGATTCAAAAAAACCCAAACCAAAACAAAAAAAAAAAAACCCACAAACTAAACCAAAAAACACATCACCAAAAAACCCTTAGCATAACTCATCTGATTTTATTAAGTTGCTTGGTTTTTTTCCCTTGAGGTCTGAACTGACTACCGCTTGGGCCCCAGTCCGTGAGGTGGATCCCACCCTGCCAGCTGTAAAACTGCACCCGAACAAAGAGCTCAGAGCACAAGCCCAGGTGCCAAATCAGTCCCTGAGTCAGTGGGGACGAAAGGTCAATTAGGTTGGCCAACATATTATACACACCTGCAGCCGAGCTGAAGTGGTACAGCATGAAGGAAGTGGCAAAGCAGTGGGCACTGAGATTGGCAGGCTCTATGGTAGATTTCTAAATTTATTTTTAAAGAAGCCTGCAAGGTTGCACATTCAAAATACTGAAAACGTTTCATGTGTCGTTGCTTTTTGTTTAACACTTTCTGCTGTCCCTTCTGCTTCCTCACTGCCTGTCACTATCTGGTCTCAGAGTAACAGACTACACCTGGAGTCTTGTGAAACTAGAGAAACTAGTTTGGTTCTTCACAGCAGCTGAAAAAGGAACCCTAGAGAACAACTTGAAGGCTGCCACATAAACCCTTGGGAGTTTTGAGCTGAGACTAGCAATGCATCTTTACATATATGCTGCAATGTAGCATGAGAGAGGAACCAATCAATTTTATAGTAGGCATCTTTTGAAAGGTATCTGTCATCCAATCTTGATTCAAAAGAAAAGTCTCTGGATGTGAAAATGCCGCCTGACTTTGTAGTTGTAAATCTGTAAGATTTAAACAGGAAAGTAGTAACTTGCTTGGGAATTGATTGTAGCTGTCACTACGGAGCGGGTTGAATTATGAAGTTAAATAATTCTGTAATAAATGAACATACTTCAGATGGCAATTGCAATTTTCTCCAGTTATACTTTTTTATAAAGAGGCAGGATTTGTAGCGAGAGATAGTACCCTTCATTAGGCCAAGAGTCGATTAAACCAGGGAAGCCTTAAAGCGCGTAAATTCTCCATCAGCCCATCAAAGCACAGCATCCCCACCACTCATTTGCTGTGATCAGTATGCTGAAAAGAAAATTGGTGGTGCTGAATTCTTCCCTGGGTTATGATAATTCGTTACAACAAAATTTATAACTTGCCTTATTCTGCATTCTAGTTTTCTCTTTCACTTTATTGCTTAATATGTTCTTTTTCAGAGTTTTATTACAAATGCATTGAAAAAGAGGATGCAGTTTCATTTCTGTATCTTGTCTGATTAGGAGTATAAAACTAAACTCTATGAGATTGAATTCAAATCTGATGTACATCCTTGTCATGCTGACTTTAGTGTATATATAGGGAGGTTTGTATGTGTGAACCATGTTTTCACATTTCTTATATTTCCATGAAAATGAGAGTAAGGCTAAAATTTTGAGCAGCAAGTCACCTGGGTTTGTAAATACCATTTTCAAGATTGTTTTAAGAGCTTTTCAGAATTTCAGAGTGGCTTCATCTTACTGCCACTTAGTGCTTATCATTTCTGAGAATGGCACTTGGGCTCTCTGAGTACTTTTGAAGTATGTCCTCTTGGTTCATAAAAGCAACCTGAGGACGTGTTGATGTGTGGTATTAGTTCTTAGGCAGAACGTACTGAATAAAATTTATCTCTCAGTTCATCGTCTGTATTCCTTTCCTTGCAGCTATTTGGAACAATAGTCTGGATTTTGGTAGCTTCTACCCACGTTCCACTGCCGCTGCTGCAGGGATGGGTGATGTTTGTAGCGGTGACTGCGTGGTTCCTGTCCATTGTGTTCCTGTGTGTGTTCCTCTTCGGTTATGCAAATAGAATTGCTGTCAACTGGAACCAGACGGTAAGATTTTTTTTCTGTATTTAAGGATTCCTTTGTTTTATAAACTGAAAATCATTTCATGAGAAGTACTGATCCTAAGGCTTAATGCCTGGCCTTCTGTTTTAGCAGAAAGTTTTTCAAAACAGAGGAATTCAAAACTAGAAAGAGTAGGACTACAAGGATGACAGAGGAAATACAGGACCTGTTTTATCGTGGAGGCTGAAAGAGCCCAGCATTTGAAACTGGTTGAAGGCGTATACTTGTCCTCTACGAGCACATAAAATGCACGAGCAGCAGGAAGAGAACTAGTTTAACAAGGCATGACAACAAATTTCTTTAAATGGCCGGAAATAATTGCAGACTGCAAATCAGAAAATGTTTTCTGCCTATTAGAGAAGTGGTAGTAATAGCCTGTGAATAATGGGAGGTAGAAAGATATATCTAGTATTGTCAAGGAAGTGATAGATTTGTGAACCCATTGTGTGATGTGGTTGTCTGAGATAGCACCAACTGGACTAAAGCACCCAGGAAGTCTCCTCCTGTTCCTTAGAAAGTCTTCTGCTGACTTTTGGGTCAGATCCTTAAAGCTAGGGCAGCATTGGTGAGTGGCTGTTAGATCTTAGGTAGTCAAAGACAGCATAACTGGCAGTATGATACAGCCTAATATCTTTTTAGGAAACTTAATGTTTATCTTTCTTAGAGGAAGCTTGGTGAGACTACAGATACCATTATACTCTGCTCAGCTTTTCTTCATTGTGAAGACAAGACTTGATTCTTGCTGTAATGGATTGTTATGGCTTGTGCTCGCAGACTGTACCTTCCTATTAAAAAAGGGAAGCTGTTGGCTCCAGTTTTCGCCAACTACATGGATACCTCAGGTTATTGGCTGCTAATTTATGTACTCCTTTGTTGTCATTAACTGTTTTTTACTTGGAATTATCTGTTCAAGTTATTCACAGACAGTCTCTTAAAACAAACGGTCTTTAGAGCAAATCATAGACCTTAATGAGTTTGGGGCTCTAACTGGTAACTTCAAAGGCCTTCAGTATTAACAGACCGGATTCTATTAAAACAAACTTTAGCACTTTGATAGCAAACACATATACATACAGTGTCAGCTTTCCAGCACAATACAGGCAGTAGTTAGACTAATAATGAGTTACAACTACAGAGACCTTTACAGGGATTTATGCTGCGACATCCTCACAAATTATGATGCAACAAAGCCCTTGAGCATGTGCATAACTGAAGTAAATTAATAGTGTCCTGGGTTTCATTGAAACTGTTTGCCAATCTATAATCATGCATGTATTTGAGAGTTGCTGGGTGAGGGCATAGCCTTCTATAGATTGGAAATGCCATACAAACGTTCGTCTTATAAGAATTGTGTAAGTGTGTCTTACACATTGGCTACTTGATGCTGGCAGTGATTTGTTGTACTGTTAGTTTTGTCCCCTTGTATATGATAAATTACTAAAAACTTTGTATGTCAGGAACTTGCTACGTGATGTGTATAAAAGCTCCATCTGTAGGACTCTGTAACTTAATCTAAAAAGCTGTGTAACTAAGTCAACATCTTAAATAAATGCAGAGTGAATTGAATTGTTTTATCTCTAACATGGTAGCTGAAATCCAGCCCCTTCCAGCTGTCAACAAAAATAACACTAGATAGGTCATTTGACCACTCTTTTCAGGTACCAAAATGTTCTGTAACTTGCTGGCACTAAACTCTTTAGCAACACTTCAGAAGGATTTTTTACCTTCTGTTGCAAATAAATAATTACTAGAAACACTAAAACTATTTTTATTACTACAAAATAAAAAGGCGTACCTGTTTGGTTTAGGTTAGCATGTATTTAGATAAATACATGGGTTTGTTATTTCGTAAATTAACTATACAATAGAAGTCAGAAGCTACAGGTCATTAGATTAGATGAAAAATAGGAAGAGTCCTGGCTTAGTTGTATTGGTTTAGAGATTATAGTTTCGTTTAGAGATTCATGAACTAATGTGGTTTAAGACTCCAAGAGTTTAAATGTATGTTTGAAAAATAGCATGGGGTTCTGACAGGACTGCATTTAGTAGTACCTTATGCCATAAGTAGCTTCATCGATACTAATACAGGTACTTAAAAAATAAGAAGCTGCACAGTGAAACGATGGGGGAAAACATGGGCCTTATGGAGGTACGTCACTGCATTAAACCAGATGGTGTGACAATTACTGTCCTTTACAGCCTGACTCACCGCACACTCGTTCACAAAATTCGATGTGAACTAACATATCATGCAGATCTGGTAATGTTTTACACACACTTGGCGTGAGGCTTTGATGATTATACAAGTGTGGAGACAAGGGAGGGTTAGGCACCATGTTAGCAATTACCAAAAAACCTTCCCTCATAAGATCTTGGGGGTTTTGGTCACAGAAACCATAACCACATGAACGTGAAACCTTATTGATGCTACACAGCTTCACTGTAATTGCTGCCAGGAGAAGGAAATTAGAGGGTTTGGCAGGAGACTGAAGGAAATTAAAGAGTTTGTCTTCTGAAAATACCTCTCCTATATGCAGTCAGCACTGTCTTCCTCATGGAGCTATTTGTGCTCCTTCATGAGCAGTGGTGCCAAAAGTGTGCAGCCGGGAACACTGACAGAGTTGCACGCTAGGTATTTAGCAGCCCAAGAATAATGGACGTCCTTGATTACCCGTGGCTTTACGCAGACCTTTCAAGTTGCTGGAATCCAAATACGGAATACAAATATGGAATACAAGACGGGTATGTCAGGCCGTGACATGAGGCCCGGTGTTTGTCACACAGTGAACACACACCTGCACGCAGTCTGACGTGGTGTGCGTAGGCGATAGCATGAACGATATGCATGTCCATCTGCCAGCTTGAGTGAGCCGGGGGGAAGCCACAACAGTGTCTGGTGGAGAAATGCCTCCCCCGGCTGCAGCAGAGCACTGCCTTTTCTCCGGTGCTGGGGTAGGTCCCTACTGTTTTTTTCTATGAGGTACAGACGTCCCAGCAGAGCCGGAGACTGAGGGAATGTGTATTATGCCCGAAGCTTGGGATCTGGCAAGCCTGGCACATAAAGGCTATCCAGGTAGGTCAGGAAGCCATCCTCTGCCCCCTTATCTTCTCAGTTCTGTTGATGTCAGTGGGGCCTCCTGGTGATACTGCAAGAGGAAGTAATTGGTTTTTTTAAATGGAAAAAAAAAAAACCAACAACCCAGTGAGGATGCAAAACCAGAAGTTGGGAATTACTGCAGCTATTTTGCCAAAATTTGGATTCCAAGTAATTAGCAGTCATTAAGAAAAACAGTACACTCTATGACCTAACCTCAAACAATGAAATGATTCTTAATTAAGAGAAAACTATTTCCTGATGTAAGTGGAATGGGAAACTAGTAGCAGCTTTTATCATAACTTACCAAAACTGACTAGGGTGTGATTTAAGTAGCTTTAGCTGCTATCAAATATGGAACAAAAGTTCCATGGAGTTTGAAAAGAAAATTCTTTCAATAAAAAGAAAATCTCACATCTGCCAAAAAAACAGTTCTCTAAACAGGGAAACGCAGCACATTCTCCCTTTGCCGTCAGACAGTCAGTAGGTAAGGATGTTGCACAGTGATTTCTAGTGCCTGAGAATGCTGTCGCTGTTGTGATGGACTCACACGTGGTGTGCCCTGGGTTCTCGCTCTTGCCGTACTGGTAGTCCGCTGCACTCAAGTGAATTAAAAGTGCATACAGTAGTGCTGGAGATAGACTGTATGCTGTGGATGTCATCAAAAAGCATACGTATACTTGTGTATAATTTAAAAAATTGTGCTGTGGCTTTTGCAGACCTGCGCAGGGATAGGCACCAAGTATATGTTGTATAGATTCAGGCACTGAGTGCAACGCAGATGTCAGCTTTGCAGACTCAACAACAGAAGGAGATATTGGAAGAATATTTTAGACATTTTAAAACTGTACTGGAACATGTCTTGGATCTTGCTGTGTGGAACTCTGGACTCTGAAATGCAACCCACAACGAGATTTAGGCACCAGAGCTGCTTTTTCATGTGCTGTGCAATAATAGAATCCAGAAATGAGAGTTAGATGTTTAAACCTTTTGTTCAGCTAGCATTCACCACAGAGGGGGGAATCGCCTAGAGAAGGCCAAGAGAGAAGCATATTTAAAGGAAATCCTAACTCCTGTCCTCTAAAGTCTCAGGCGTTTTTTTCCACAGTATCATGAAGTACTTCCAAATTACTGTATTTTGAGTAGAGCCAAGTCAGAGAGCGTTGAGGAAATGCCTCAACTCTTGGATTCTGATTGTATTGGAAAGTAAACTTCAGCTGTGTCAAGGCTGAGGTGCTTCTGGGCATTTACAGAAGCAAAATTTAAGTGTGAAGGGGGTACTTCTGAAGCTTAGGTTACAGCTGAGAAGGGATTTAGGGGACTGCAAGCTTGTATGGTACTGCTTAAATTGTGGTAAAGTTGGCCTGTATGTCCCTCCTTTTTTGTCTAAGCTGTATGAAGGGAGAGTTCTCTAAGCTCCAATGGCTTTAAAGTGATCTAAAAGGTCAGCATGTGTTCACACAGATGAGCACGTGCCTCTTAATTCGAAAGAATATAGGGTTTGGGGAGAGAAAAAGTTGCCCTTTACCACTGATTATGTCAGGGAGTTGCTTATAATTCCAAGCAGCTGTGGAAACACATGCAGGTTAAGGTCTGAGATGGATTTAATGCTGCTTATCTAAAACTACTGTTATCAGTGCTCGTCTCATGTTTCAGTGTTGGGTTTCATTTGTACTGGGACTAGAAAAATTAGATACGTATTGCAGCCCAGACTGATTCTGTTATTTGCTTTTCAGGATTTTCTTTTCCATGGGGCTACTTTTGTCTTTTATTTTGGAGCTTTTCTGCTGCAAGCAGCAACTACATCTCTGCATCACTTTCCTCGCAGATTCAATTCCACCGCACAAGAGAAGATTCTAGCTGATCATGAATATAACATAAGCATAGCAGCTTCGGTATGTATTTCATGTATTTGTATCTGGGGAGCAGAAGTCTGTTGTAAGCCCCTGTAGCCAACCATTCAACTTGGGAACTTAACAGCGAGCTGGAATAGATAAGAGAAGCTGTGAGAGAAAGGATTGTCTTTGAGAGCAGCATATAGTGTCTACCAGTGACGTGCAAATAATATTGGAATAAGCTAATGCTGGTGCGATAGGTGCTCAGTTGGTACTCTTCACTATAGTGTTTGAAATGTATGATCACTACAGCTTATAGTTTTTAGACAAGATATTTTGTAAAAGCAATGTTGGTTGTTAGAATAGAAGAAAAATATAACGGAGCCTTCATCAAAGCATCAGGTGTGAATTCCATGCCTGTGCTCAAACTTTCATTTGCTTTTTTTGTACCATTTCTAAATTTTTGTACCATTTTTACCATCTGTATACCATTCCTGAACATGTCGTTGGGAAAAAACCTTGGTCTAGCTCCTTGTGAAGCTCCAGATACGTATTTACTACATCAGGCATAAAAGTTATCTGTAAGGGCCCTGCTGTCTCTTACGGCAAGGATTAGAGTGCTTTTATTGGTAGCCTGAGCTCCGACTGCATTTTTCTCACTGTAGTTGCATCATCATTGAATCACTGTATCTGGTGATGTGGGTGTGTGTTGCTGAGTCAGAAAATATACCAGGCTCTAGCTTTCTCCCTGCCTGGACCTCCTGAAGGGCAAATAGAGGTGTGCCTGTGGGCTTAACTGAAAGAACCGAAACTACTGCTCTTATTTGTTTGTACCATCTAGAGGGGTCTTGCATGCCTCAGGGAACTGTATATATTTATTAAGCTTCTAAAACCCTCTGTGGGTATCTTTTGTCCTTAAAACTAAACACACCGTAAATTTTGCACACTAAACCGCTTCAGTTCATCTTAAGATAAAAACAGATGAACATAAAGTGTAAGGTTCACATTCTCTCTGCAAGAGGAGAATAAAAAGGAGAGGCCTTTTGCTTTGTCAAGCCAGTCTGTGAAGGGGTACGGTGGGCATGTCAGTCCCCCAGTCCAGAGTGCCTCACCATTACTGACTTGCCAGTAACACACTTGAGCACATCCGATCCCTGTATGGCCATATGGCACAAGGGCAGAGGTGGTGACTCAGAGCTCTGCCTGAACTGATGGAGGCTTTATACTAAGCAAGTATCTCAAATTCTACCCTTCAGTGTAGCTCATCTATCCTCGTTCAGTGTGTTCAGATCCCACTGAATATATGGTCACTTTAGTGATTTTGTCTGACAGCAGGATACTGGGGACTCCAAGACACCCTTTCTCCCTTCCATACTGTTTTTCCAAGGGAGAATTAAGTTCTTCAAGCCCCTCAAATCCCTGTCAAGATAGGGGAGGTGAAGGCTCTTTTATACCTTGCCTTAGTATTTTTTATTAAGAGATACTGGGAAATGGTGAATCAGATAACTGTAGTCTTTAGCATCTTTGCATTTTTTCAGAAAGTATATAATTAGAAAGTCAGGACATACACAAAAAAAATTGTAATCCTTCGAAACGTTTCATTAAAACAGTCTTGTGTTCTACATGGAAAAAAAATAAAAGGTTGCTAACATTTTGTCTTTTAAAATTATTTTTGTATACTATGGAAGTGTTCAAGGCCAGGTTGGATGAGGCTTTGGGCAACCTGGTGTAGTTGAGGGTTTCCCTGCCCATGGCAGGGGAGTTGGAACTAGATGATCTTTGAGGTCCCTTTCAACCCTAACCATTCTATGATTAAAAATATACGTGTTCATTTGATTTGGGTGGTAGTTCTACGGTGTAACATCTATTCAAAACTTTATTGTCAAATTAACACTTGTATGGGAAGCCAGGGATAGGTTGTTACGACAAGTTTGAATTCGTATGTTCTAAGAGACAGCATTCGTCATTAGC